TTAGCAGTTGTATCTGTCAAATATCCTGAAATATCCTGTATGTCACATTTATTTACCTTGCTTATTGACCACATTCCCCCCAAAAATAGAGACTCCATAGAGCAGAAGTATTTCAGCCTGCTTTGGTCACTGCCATATCCCCTATGCCCAGAAAAGTGTTAGCAGGTTGTGGATTCTTCAGAAATATTCTATGTGTCGGATGAGTGAATTAACAGAGCCCTGGGACTAAAAGGTAACTTACATGCTGACTTCAGGATCTAATCTCCCTACAAGACAGAGCTCTATTTTTTCCCTGTCTCTGGCTTTCAGTATGAATTTTTTTTTAAATGTGGCTGTGCTCAGACTGTACCTAGCTTTGTACCAAACTTTCCTCACCTAAAATCTCATATATATATATATATATATATATATATATATATATATATATATATATTATAAAATCATAGAAGTGTCTTAATTCATTCTCCATCCTAAGATACTGCTTCATTAAAGAACATGTGGAAATGGTGCTGGCAATTTAAAAAGTAATAATTCATAGAACTTCCCTGATAAAACAGTCACCAGCATTTCAGCGACTTGCCTTGTAGGTCAGCATTTTTAGAGTGTAAGTTCAAATTGCAGTATGATAACACTTGAGTTAGAATTCTGCATACAGTGTTTTGTTTTTTTTTTACAGGCTTGGAAATTTCACTGTCAAAACAATTTAAAAAGATAAATGTTTCCTTAATCACTTCCTTATTTCTGTATATTGATTTAGATGGCTGTCAGTCTTTTTATTTTATAATGGTGCAGTAGACTTTTTTTTTTTTTTTTTTTTTGGTACTGGACTGTGGAAAGCTTGGATTTCCTTAACTTGGATTAAGGAAATAACTTGTGAATGGCCTCACACTCCCCTACCACCCTGTTGTGATCCTTTCCTTTCCCTCTCCCCACCACTGATGTAATTTATGGCTCTGGCTTCTTATTTGTTGGAAGCAGATCCCTGAAGGGGTGACCTCCCAGTGTCTTCAATTATTATTTTAAATGATGCCTTAGGCTACTGCCTGGCACAGCAGTGCCCTCACCTTCCCGCCTTCTGCCTTCCAAGCATGGAGCTCAGCTACCAAGCTGGCTGTGCCCCCTCCTGTCCTCAGAGCTGCCTCCAGAGTCCCAGCAGAGAGCCAGATTAACCCCTTTTGTTAGCAGAGGCAATTTGCCTGGGTTTAGCATTAATAAGGAGTGCCATAAGCAGTCGGGGTCAGAAAGAACATATCTGTCAAGCCCCAGGGTTAATTTAATAGCAATCTGTTGGCTGTCTAGGCTTTATATTAGCTGTGAATCCAATGCTGTGTTTTGCCTTTGCCATTTAGTTCTTTGGGACAACAGGGAAATAATTTGGATAGAGCACTCCAAAGGATAAGAGGAGAAAATTGACTGTCAGAATGCATCATTCCAGATCATACAGGGAGCCAGGCATTGCTCGCCTCCTTTCTCCCCCAGTCCCAACACAAAGGGCGAAACAACCCATGCTGACAACACATGTCTGCCTTTGCAGTAGCGTCACGGGAAAGGCCTGGGTTCCAGGGATGCAGTGTGGAATTTCCTTCTCCCTTCCCCAGGAGCCATTTGAATTTCTGACAACTAGACTCTCATGCTTCTAGAACTCACCAAGCCCTCCATTAAAAAATAAGTCAGGACATCCTTGTCAGGTTTTTGTTCAATTTCTGGTTCAAAAAATAATTATTATTATAGAACATAAAACTTCTGGTTTTGAGAAATGACACCAAAATGATAAGTGATGGGCCTAAAGCAGAAGAGATGGATCTGCCTTCCCAATGAGCCAGGTACTGACTCAAGAGGGTCAGATGCTTGGGAAGGCCACTCAACAGGGAGGCAGAGTGACATTGTAGTCTAAAACTCAGGCTCCTGAGTCTCACAAACTTGGGCTGAAAGCCCAGCTCTGCCCCCTATGACTAACATGACCTTAATGATTTAGCTTAGTCTTATCTTTGCTCAGCTATAAAATGGGGCTGTTGATAGTTGTGACCACGTGTGGCCAGGATGGGAGACAAGTAAGACAGCGTACGTGGTGTTTAGCGTGGGGCAGGCCCAGCACCTGGTAGACCTCACCTGATAGACCTCTCTATCAAGTTCCTGCTGGTTGATTCAATGTATTACTTTCCAAAATGTGGTATGTAGACCCCTGGTTATGATCTTCTGCCTTATCTTTAACATTGTGGTTGTTTAAAAAAAAAAAAAAAAAAAAAAAAAAGAAGGGAGAAGGGGTATGTAGATCATGGTTTATGCCCTGAGCTCCAGAGAATCCAACCCAATAAGTCAAAAGGGAGTCTCAGGCCTGGAAGGGAGAGAAGAGCCCAGAAGGCTGGGGGATGAAGGGTGGGTGAGGGCAGGCCTGGTGGTTCAGGATGTGTGGAAGGAAGGACCCAGAAGCATGACCTAATCAGATTCGGTAGGCACATCCCCATGAGAGTGCCCCTGGAGTGGAGGGACGTTGTCGGTGTCATGGGTGTGCTTCAGCACTTTGTTTTCACACATTCTGACTTTGGGGCTTTATTTTTAGGTGGCTGTAGCACCTACCCTTCCTCCACAGCGCAGAGCCTTCCAGTTCAGCTTGTTTTGGAGCACTGCTGGGAGAGGTTGAGAAAGCAGACACCAGATTTTCTTTCCCTATTTTGGAAAAAGAGAAACATGCTCACTGGTGCTGTAGGGTATCAAGGATCCTTCTGGAGGGCAATGAAATCTGACAGCAGCTGAACACTGTCCTCTGCTTTACCCTGTGCCATGTTCTGGCCACGGAGGTTAAGGCATGGGTCAAGGTGGCTAAGAGGACATCAGAGCCACCCCCTGCAGCCTCCTCTGAACAGCGCAGGCTTTTGCTCCCAGGAGCATGTACTAATTGCAGTAATATTTATGACTCTGGTAGAAATAGTTGAGTTAAAAGGTAGTAGTTTGTGAATCCAGGAGACCCACATGCCCTGGACACCCTGGTAATTTTTGCATCTGGGTTTGGCAGGGGAAACTGTAGCAAAATGTAATGTTAACTCAAGTCTCAAACTAATTTTAGAAAGGATGCAACAGGAAGTAGAGGAGATCATTGAAGGGGAGGAGGCACAGCCAAAACAAAAAGCCATTGTTACAACAAATTGCATGTTGGAGTCATTCTCAGAGCAACACAGGTGACATTGACAGTAGGGGACTACTTTGTTGGGACTAAAAGTATCGGCACATTTGCTTGTCCTGTCTTGACTCTAAGATGGGGACTGTGCTCCTTGCTTAAAATGAAAAGCAGAGCTGACTCTCATCCCTTCCTAGGATGGTCTGTATCACATTACTGCTTGTTGATTCAGTGCATTACTTTCCAGAATGCAGTATGGACACTCCTGGCTCATGCATGGTTTCACTGTAATTGTTATACATTTATTTTTATGTGTTTTATTAAATATAAACCAGCTCATGGAACTCGTAACTTTATGAACGTTGGATTACTACTTAGATGAAATTGAGAAAAAGCAAGCCCACTGAGGGCTGGGATTGTGGCTCAGGGATAGAGTGAGCCCATTTAAAGATGAAGAAAACAATGTTAAGTAAAAAAATATTACCTGGGGCTGGGGTTGTAGCTCAGTGGTTGAGTGTTTCCCTGGCATGCATGAGGCACTGGGTTTGATCCTCAGCACCACAAAAAAATAAATAAATAAATAGAATAAAGATATTGTGTCCATCTACAACTAAAAAAAATATTATCTGATGATAAATAGATGGGGACAAAATCGGGAGTGGTGGAATCTGGGAAAAGTGGGAATCATTTTAGTCAGCTTGGATGGGTAACGGGATCCATATCACAGGGCCAGAACCCTTGTAGGAGGTCAATGCATCAGTCTTCAGAACCTCAGCCCCAGCTAGGTGTCACCCAAGCCCTTGATAGGGGTGTGAAGGGATCTGTACAAACCCATTCCTTCACGCATGCTGGATACCCTCCAGAAGTGTTTGTCTCCATTGAATCACCTTCTTAAGCAGAAGGCTAAATGTTTCATTCCAACATAACAGGAATGAGGTCTTAAAAAAGTAGAGAGAAAATAATTCTTGATCGAGAAGAAAAATATTGAGGGGTGTAAAAAAAAAAAAAAAAAACCCAGATGATAAAACTAAAGAGTGTGTTTCATGGAGCCTAGATCTCACCCAACATGTATAAATGCCTTCTGATATTTAAACTCCCACCCAATCTCTAAAGCAAATCACAGTTTGGGGAGACTGGAAGGTCTGTGTATCTTAAATGAGAGAATGTTGCATAACTACGAAACAGCTCAGATTTTTATACTGGAATGAAGTCCTGGTGTTGTCACTCACTGGCCAGGTATCCTGGAGGCAAGTTATTTTATATACTCAGAGCCTCCATTTCCACTCCTGAAAAACGAGTGTAAGAAATATGTCAATTAAAAAGTTTTGCAAGGATTAAGTGAGATAAAGTACATGATATGCTTTGCACAGTGAATGACCTATAGTGGGTGCTCAATAAATAGTAGCAGCTATTATTATCCACGTGGTAGTAAACAAGGTCTCAGGAATGTCGTGAAAGAGGATTTGCAGTCTATTCTAGATACAACTCATTAGCCCAGAAGTCTGAGTAAGGAGTCAAATAAATTAGAATTTTTGGGACTAGTTTCTTAACTACTATTATGTAAAGGAAATCAAGTCTTTGCCACTTGGCTTGCATGAGCAGGAAACTTTGGTTATGAATGGATGTTTTCTACAAGTCAGGAAACAGGAGTCCAGAGACCTGAGTTCTAATGCTACCTGTAACTACTGGGTAACCCTGAGCCTCTTTTCAGGTGCCTGAAACCAGTGGCACCTACTTGTTTGCTAACAGAGTCAGGAGGAAGGTCCACCTGGTGCCTGGTAAATGCTGCTGTGTTACACTCACGTAAGATGGTGCTATTGCTGATCCCCCTACCCCGAGATTCTGCCCACTTCTCCCGGTTCCCTCCTTGACTCGTCTGTGCCAGATATTGTGGACATTAAGCCAGCCAACATGGAGGAGCTCACAGAGGTGATCACGGCAGCTGAGTTCCACCCCCATCACTGCAACACTTTTGTGTACAGCAGCAGCAAAGGGACAATCCGGCTGTGCGACATGCGGGCATCAGCTCTGTGCGACCGGCACACCAAGTGTGAGTAGCACCTGGGGTGTGGGGGAGGGATGCAGAGTTCTGAAACGGTGTGTGTTGGCTTGGGGGGACAGGGAAGGTCTTTTATCTCATTCTACATACAGACTGGGAGTAAAGAGACCCAAGTGTTGGCCTGATTTGAAAGTCAACTTCCTGTTTGGTGTTTCAGTAAAGATAAAAACTCACGTTCAAAACATGCAGATGCAGAACCAGCCCCTGTTAGCAAGGGATTTAAGTAGCATTGTGGCATGATCTAAATCGTGTGTTAAGATCTTTCTTGCTGGGTATGACACACACCTGTAATCCTAGCGGCTCAGGAGGCTGAGGCGAGAGGATCACAAGTTCAAAGCCAGCCTCAACAACTTAGCAAGGCTCTAAGCAACTCAGTGAGACCCTGTCTTTAAATAAAAGATTAAAGGGCTAGGGATGTAGCTCAGTGGTTAAGCACCCCTGGGTTCAATACCCAGTACAAAAAAAAAAAAAAAAGAGAGAGAGAGAGAGAGAGATAACTCTTGTTGCTTTTGAGAGAAAGGCCCCGCTAAGTGGTGGCCTGGACAAGGCGGTGATGTGGTCATGAACAACAGCAGAGACTTCTAGATAAATCTTGGCAACAGAGCTAAGAATACCCGCTGGACTATGTGGGAGGCCAGGAATATACCAAGAGTCAAGAATGGTGTCTCAGCAAGGAGCTGGTGGCTCCTTGGAGAGGTTGAGGCTATGGGAACCAGCACTCTAGAAACCCCAGTAGTTCTAATGGACAGCAGAGAAAAGCTTCAGAGAGGGTGTTAGAGTACAGCCCAGCACGCAGGTTGTCCTGAAGTTTTCAGGGCACTGACGGACCAAAGTAGATTCCAACTCTCTGGGAGCAGAATGCTTAAGAGCAAATGGCTAAGACCAGATGGAAGCAGACAGAGCGGCTGACACCCACGGCCAGTGCTGGTAGGTAGGATGGGCCTGGAGCCAGCAGGGAGCATTTCTAGAAGAGCTGCTGCTCCCCAGGGTAGAGGCACCTGGAAGGCAGAGGAAATCCACGCCTGGCGAATGGCGTTGAGCTAAATAGCACGCAGCTGCCCAGGCGCTCAGAGCTCAACCCGCCACCCCCCACCTAGTGCCGCTGTCCCCTCCACTCTGCTGTGCAGAGTCAGGAGTGAAGGCCATCCTCCTCCCACGGTCCCCATCTTCAATTGCAGTTCTGTGACAGGGGTGGTCTGATGGTTCTCTTCAGAGGAGTGTGACCAGGAGGGAGATGGCTGTCTCCTGCTGCTTTGGGTGATTTTTGCTGGCTGTCTGGCGGAGGTTTTGCATGGAGGAGCCAGTGGGGGAGGGGGAGGGGGAGGGGGAGTTGTCTGTAAGCTTGTGGATTCTAGAGTCGCACAAATCCAGCCCAAGTCAGGCTTCCCTTCTTAAAAACCTCTTTGTCTACCTTCCCTTAACCTGTCTAAGCCCAGTTTTCTCATATATAAAATGGATAAGATAATCGTGATAGCACTTCATGCATTTGCCATGGCACTGAAATGAGATAAATGTCTTAAAAATTGCTAATGAGGTATCTTATATCCCATTTTGTTTTCATGCTAAGTCTTAAAAGTTGGCATGTGGGTTTTTTTTTGTTTTTTGGTTTTGTTTTGTTTTTGGTTTTTTTACCAGTTGCTTCAATGCATAGATTGTGGCTACTATATTAGGGCAAATTTGGGTTGTTCCATCATTGAAGAAAATTCTGGAGAGTGCGGAGATATCCTTGAGAACATGGACTATTCTATCTTATTCACTTTGGCTTCACAGCACCTTGCACAGTGCCTGGCCCAGAACAGGGGCTTAATAAATGCCGAGTTTGTGCTAATGTTGATCTTTGAACAGTATACTTTCATGAGCCCACGAGGAGGAAAGCATTCAATGCAGAAAGATCCACATGTGCAAAGGTCATGGGGCATAAAACGTGTTTGTGGAAGAGCCGAGTAATTGATATGACTAGGAGAAGAGAGTAGAGGCTCAGGAGGAATGCCTGAGCCAGGTCATAATGGCAGTGTTAACAACTATGACAAAACGGAATATTTTGGCCAAAACCAATAAATACCTATCAAAGCAAGCAGGGAAGTAATTTGATCAAAATTAGATTTTAGAGAAGTTATTTGGGTAGAAGGCAGAAAGATGCAGGTTGAATTCTGACTAGAAAAATAAAGAGACAAAGGTATGCGTTAAGAAGACATGGTAATCTCAGCAACTTGAGAGGCTGAGGCAAAAGGATCATAAGTTCAAGGTCAGCCTCAGCAACTTTGTGAGACTGTCTCAGAATTTTAAAAAGGGGGGCAGGGGGCACTGGGGTTGTAGCTCAGCGGTAGAGCACTCACCTGGCACGTGCCAGGCCCTGGGTTTGATCCTCAGCACCACATAAAAATAAATAAATAAAATAAAGGTATTGTGTCCAACTGCAACTAAAAAAAAAAGATAATAAATGACATAAAAAGGACGAGGGATGTAGTTCAGTGGTACATCACCTCTGGGGCCAGGTATAGTGGCACATGCCTATAATCCCAGTGACTTGGGAGGCTGAGGCAAGAGGATCACAAGTTCAAAGCCAGTCTCAGCAACTTAGGGAGGCACTTATCAACTCAGTGAGACCCTGTCTCTAAATAAAATGTTTTAAAATGGCTGGGGATGTGGATCAGTGGTCAAGCACCCCTGGGCTCAATCCCCAGTACCAAAGATGATTAATTACATAAATCATCTCGGGGTTTAATTCTCAGTACCAAGAAGAAGAGGAGCCAGGGGGAGGAGAGAAGGAGGGGAGGAGAAGAAGATACTGCACTGTTGAATTTTGGCTCTCATTCTTCATTGGGAGAGAAGGCTGTCCTATGCATTATGGGATTTAACAGCATCCCTGTCCTTAGCTACCAGAAGTCAGTACCACCACTTCAGTTGTGACAGCAAAAAAATGTCTCCAGACCTTTGTGGAGGAATTGCTCCCAGTTGAGAGCCACTGACTAGACCAAGATTCATTTGGTCAGAGCTTCTGCGTGATAGCCATGGCTCTCTGATGTGCTTACTACTCTGAAGACTGACAGGGCCAGGGATGGGGCTCAGTAATAGAGGGCTTGCCTAGCGTGCCCAAGGCCTGGGTTCAATCCCTAGCAGCACTGGGGGGAAAAAAACAGACTAGTACAACAGAAAGGTAAGACTTATCTCTTATCCTCAAGAATTTAAAATCTGTCCAAGGAAAGAAGATATGCCCAGGAGACCTCTCGGGCAATGTGCAAGGCCGTGTGTGCTTTCATACCCACATGGATAGTGGAGACGATTCAGGTTTGGATGTTCAGAGGAAGGTGGGACGATTGAGACAGACCTCACGGGGATGGCAGAAGTGGAACAATTGAGTGTGGAAGTTCAAGTAGGATTTGATTCGGTACGGACAGGAAGAAGAGGGCTTTAGACTGTGGGTGCAGAATGAGCAAAACTCTGAAGTCACTAAGGACATGGAACTTCTAGACAGGAAGAAGTGTCAGCCTCGGGGGAAGGGGATGTCAGTTAATGAGGTCAAATAGGGATGCTGGTTCCTAGCAAGTTGGTCCTTGAAGATAAGAGTCAAAGTTTATGCTCTCACCAGCTTGTATCATCAGCAATTCAGGAGGCTGAGGCAGGAGGATCATGAGTTCAAAGTCAGTCTTGGCAAAAGTGAGGCATTAAGCAAGTCAGTGAGACCCTGTCTCTAAATAAAATACAAAATAGGGCTAGGGATGTGGCTCAGTGGTTGAGTGCCCCTGAGTTCAATCCCCAGTACCCCACCCCTCAAAAAAATTTTTTTTAAGTTTATGCTCTGAGGTATTCTTTCTTTCATTCATTGAGTACATACTTAATGCTGGCTCTTTATGGTAGTCAGCTTCTATTTTAGTCAGCTTTTTCACTGTTGTGACTAAAGACCTGACAAGAACAGTTTTAAAGGAGGAAAAGTTTATTCAGGGGCTCACGGTTTTAGAGGTCTCTGTCCATAGACAGCCAACTCCATTCTTTGGGGCTCAAGGGGAGGCAGAACATTATGGAAGAAGAACATGGCAGAAGAAAGCACCTCACATGGTGATCAGAGAGCTGAGAGAGAGAGACTTCACCAGCCAGATCAAAATACATACCCCAAAGTCATACCCCCAATGTCCCACCTCCTCCAGCCATACCCTGTCTACCTTCAGTTACCACTCAGTTAATACCATCAGGGGATTAATTCACTGATGGGGTGAGGTTCTCATAATCCAATCATTTCACCTCTGAATCTTGTTGCATTGTCTCATACATGAGATTCTGGGGGACACCTCACATCCAAACCATAACACCCTCCTTCTTAAACTTTTCCTCCAAGTACAGCTAGTTCCCCTAGGTCCAGCCCATAAGCCCTGCTATGGAAGAAGGGTTACTGTGTTCATTACCCAGTTTTCCACCTCTGTGGTTGCTGTGTGGACCTGACGTCTCATCAAAGGCCAACATCAAATGCCTGACAAAGACCAGTGATCCAGGAGGAGGTGCTCCCCACACAGATTTTCTTTTAAGTCTTATTTTTGTACCTGAACTTTCATGTGAGGTGTGAATATTGCCCCCATCAAAATCTGCTTTCAAACTGGGCACAGTAGCATACTCCTGTAATCCCAGCAGCTCAGAGGCTGAGGCAGAAGGATCACAAGTTCAAAGCTAGCCTTAGCAAAAGCAAGGGCACTAAGCAACTCAGTGAGACCCTGTCTCTAAATAAAATACAAAACAGGGCTGGGGGGTGCAGCTCAGTGGCTGGGTGCCCCTGAGTTCAATCCCTGGTATCTACCCCCCAAAAAAAACTGTTTTCAATTTAATAATCCACCTACCTTTAAATTTCAAGCAAAATTGGTGTCTGAAAAATGCAGCATTTATCCTGTGGCTTCATGTACTCCTGGTGCATCCCCCACGCCCTACTGCCTCTTTGACCCCAAGGATACAGACATGCGTGCCAGTGTGAGCACAGATCCTGTTATGTGGGGAGTGCTTTGAGA